TCTCACTTATTCACAAAGACAAATTCCTCTAAAGTCCCGTGTTGACTGAGGAGACGGAGTTTGAGTCCTCCTCACTCTGACATGTGTGAATGTTCGGAGCGCCTCCCGCTGTGTTAGTGGGACAGAAAATGGCTGAGATGGCGGTCAGGTGCTCTCAGGCTCCATATCCAATAAAAGCCTCGTCAAACGGAGATGCTCTCCACACGCTCCAGTGGAGACGATTCCTTGAAAAAGCCTTTTTCTTCTAAAAGTGGGGTCAGTGCGTCACAGAGAGGAGCGAACCATCAAATAGAAACCTTTGTGTTTCATTATTAATAAAACTGTTGGTTCTTTTCTGTGAGCTGCAGGCGGGGGGGAAGGGCAACAAGCTGCGACATGTCGTTCTGACGGAGAAACTCTGAAAACTGCTTCAACGGTACCATCGATCAATCTGACTGACTCCTCTCCAGATAATCTGGTTCATCAGAACACAAATCCAAAGAAAGTCTGGATTCCAAAATATAACAAGTCGTCATTGTTTCAAATCAAATATCTGATTCTCACATGAGACTTAAAGGAGTCACAGTTTCAGACTGCAAAGAAAGATGGACGACGTTTCTCCCACTGTTCGTGAATGAAGCAAAACCAGTTTGTGTGTTTGTGCTTTTGAGGAGAAAATGACGGAGAGTCAGCGTCTCCGAGAGACTGAGACTTCAGCGGTTAATGCCACAGAAGAGAGAATCTGCAGTTACAGAAACAGTCTGCGGAGCTCGTGTGTTAAAAATGAGAAACAAGACAAACAAAGAAGGAAGAGAAGCCGGAAACAGGTTCTTTCCTCGGTTCTGTCTGAAGGTGAGAGCCTGTTTGTTCACGACCAGAGTGTTCGAACGAGATGACGCAGGGAGAGGGCGGCGAGCGGCGGCCTGACATCACAGACCGTAACATGAGGACAACTCTATGTATTTTATAAACACTGAGGTTCGGGGGAGGAAAGCCGGGGAGGGCTGATGTAGCGGATCAGGCTAACATCACATTTCCTTCAGCAGCTAACGACACTGAGAGCCTTCACACCTGAGAGAGGAGCCGTCCAGGAGTCGAGCTGATGAAACCATAACAGACCCTGAAAACCCTTCGACTAAATAACCGAGGGAACAGGAGACACCTGTTAGCTGACGGCTCGGATCAGGAAGTCTGGAGGAGACACAAACGTGAACACGTCGAACAGAAACACATCCAGAGCTGCTGCTCGACTCGAGAGAGCCTGAAGCAGTCGGCTCGCTGAGCTCAGCACGCACACACACACACACACACACACACACACACACACACACACACACACACAGTGGAAACACAACTACTCCGGCTGCCTCACAAACCAGAAGGTGAACAAACCAACGTGAAACGTGGGAAATTAATGAAAATGTCACAGAGAGGAATGAGCTAAAAGAGGTCCTGGTTTTCCCCCCCGATCCAGATCTGGACCAAAATTGAAGGAGTACTCCCCCGACCCGCTCCACATTCTTCCACCATGTGTCGTGGAAATCCGTCCAGTAGTTCCTCAGGGTTTTGTGCTCGGCCTCATGATATACGGATGATACCCAGTTATAAGTTTGTGTAGCAGTTTTTATTTGAAGGTATAAGAACAACGTAGCGTTGCTTTAAAGTGTCGCGGGTGATTTTCGGGGACAGCAGCGTCTCTGACAGTCTCATACCTGCAGGCTGGTTTGTCAGACGTGACCTCACTGAGAGTCTCGGCTGTTAAAAACAGCTTTAATGAGGGTGTGTCAGGATGGATGAACTTTGGTTCACTGCACAGATGAGACGCAGCAGCTCCATGTATGTTTCCTCTGATTCAGTTCTGTTTGTTGTTGTTTCTGCACAAAGACTCTGGTCGTCTACATATGAAACAATTGTTTAAAAGTATAAATGAATGAAACACACAGACTGTGAGCTCAGATTCTGAGGCCTGGCAGCGTCTGGATCGATGGTGGCAGCTCATCTTTACGGTTCCCCAGAGTCCAGGACCTGAACAAGTCAGTGTCCAGCTGGAGAAAAGCTGCAACACCACAGGCAAATAAACAGCCGCTTACAAACAAGGTTCAGAACAGAGTAGAATCAGTAGTATCTGACTAGTAGTAATATATATGTGGCTGAGTACTTTATATGTCATGTCCACCGTGAGGCTGTGGTGATGATCGGAACTACAAAAGCAAACAAGCCGACAGACGTCCGCTCTTATGATCCAAACAAATAAAGAAAACCAGCCCAAAGATCTGAAGATGAAAATCTTCACATCAGGATCCAAACAATGTTTCCTGAGAAAGTGGAGAATTCTCATCTTAAATAAATAATAATAATAATAAATAAATAATTAAGTAAATCAGTAATTCAAATCTGTTAGAAAAACTAACAGGAGAAAACTTATTGGACAAAATAAGACAAGTTAGACTTTATTAATCCCAGAGGAAATTCTTGTGCTGGCAGAGAACAAAGAATAAAACATCTTTACAAGTATTTAGCTTTAAGTCTAAAAAATAAAAGAGCGTTTAAATTAAATATATATACGGAGTAAATGCAGAATGTATGTAATGGAACACTGAAGGTGTAATGTGAGAGACACTGTCCATAACACTGAGAAGCGTCACTAGCACAGGACATGAAGTTCTTCTTAGATATTCATGGTCCTCAGAGGATGAATTCTGGCCTCAGTGTCACTTCCTGTCACGTTGATTGTGAAGCTCCGTTCTCCTCGTTCTCTCTGGTTTGATGTTGTGAGACGAGGATCTGTGTCGCTCAGCGTTTGTTCCACTTCACTTCATGAGCAGCTACACAAACCTCAGAGTGACACAACGTCATGATACCCACCACATGTCAGTGTCCCCCTCTGTGTCTCTCACATCCCGACAAACCCCCCCCCCCCGTCCGTCCCGTCTCACTGTCACTGATCTGAGATGTTGTTCTTTCGGTCACAACCTCATGGAGAACAAGCTCCCAGCGAGCCTGCGGCTGACGGGATGGTTCCTCCTCCCTGCTGCTTCTCGCTGCAGCGTCTCTATGACGAGCTGGATCCAGACTGAAACACGTCTCCGACTGTCTCTCATCACTGAACAGTCGTCCTGTCAATACAGTTTTCACTGGTATTGGTGGATTGAAACAGGAAGTGACGCAGAAGACACTGATAGTTTCGGGTGAGTTGAGAGTCAGTCGCTCGTCAGCGTCAGAGCTCGACTGTGAAAGTATCGTCAGTATCAGACTCATCAGCGCTGACCTGTCCTCCGACCTTGTCCTCTGACCTTGTCCTCCGACCTTGTCCTCTGACCTTGTCCTCTGACCTTGTCCTCCGACCTTGTCCTCTGACCTTGTCCTCCGACCTTGTCCCCGTGACCAGAGCTCCTGCTGTAAACTGATCCATCGGACTTACACCGAGACCCTGTTGGTGTCATCGAGCCGTGTCATTGGACGGGCGGCGAGAGGAGGCGGGTGAAGACAAGAACAAGGTGTTGAGTGTGAACGTATCGACACCAGATCTGTTCATTCAGACGAGAGTCTGAGGAACCAGGTTGTTCTCTCACTCTCTCGTTCTGATGTTTCTGCTCATTAAGCTTTTGATCATAAACTTCCACATCTCAGACTTTCTCCACTGATGCTTTAAATAAATCCGTGTTTGATGGCGTCTGAAGTTTTGTCGCTTGACTCCAGGTTGAACGTGCGTCTCTTCGGAGCTGCGGTTTCCTCCGGGAGCCGCTGGATGTTGACGTGTTGAAACACAGCAGTGGCAGAAAGAGGACTTATAACCTCTAATGTCTTCGCTCATTAATACTGTATCACGGGCTCTTGTCTGTGGAATCTCATCCTGCTTTAACCTCTAAATAATTCACACAATAAAATCTTTTCTTTCTCTGCCGTCCTCTCACTCGTCTTTTCTTGGCGCTGCCTTAAGTGGAGCGATGGAGGAGAGAGAGAGGAGATGGAGAGAAGTTGAATGGAGAGAAAACAGCAGTAAGCTAATACTCATTTTACTGACCACATTTCTAACCAACCAACATTTCCTTCTTTTTAAAGTCCAGCATGCATCATGTTGACCTGACACCAAAGAGCTGAACATGAAGGTCATTGTGTCGTTGCTCTTGTGCGTTAATGACACAAGTTTAAATACGTGTTTGATAAAGTACAGTCAAGCATCGAGCTGCAGCTGCTGCTTCTGTAGAGAACTTTAGAGTCCGGTGAGGTTTATATACCCGCCGCTGCTGACTGGACGACACCTCAGACACGCCCACCAGACGAGACAAAAATGAAGCTCGAAGCCTTTTTGAGCAAACGCGTCGTTCAACCTGGAAAATAAAGCGAAACCTCGAGAGATTGAACGCGTCGTGTTTGATGAGACGCGTCAGCGGTGAACCTTCGTCGTTTCGATCTCTGTGCGGACGGACGAAGAAAACGTTTGCTTCCTGCAGTGAAGAAATTGTGAGGTTCAGCTGAGGTTCGGTGACCTTTGGCCCCCGACGTTTGCTTTCATTCGCACACGTGTGACCCGAGCGAACACCAGCGGCACGGATCAGATAAAGGAACAGGTAATAGATTGGCTGCATGTTTTCTTTGGTCGCGCTCTGGGAGGCTCCTGATGTTGATATCACACTGAAGCAGGATGTCGTGCATATGATGGGACTGGGTTAAGAGAACCACACTGACACTGGATCAGCTTGATCTCCAGGTCGGTGCAGGACACAGTCGGTTGTGTGTGATCAGCCTCTGACGAATGAAACCGATCAACAGGATGAAGTTAATTAACAGCTCAGGTCCCTGATCACGCCACTCGAGCCTGTGGTTCAGCAAAAGGTCAAATCAATAAACACAAATCTCTGGCTCGTGATTGGAGGATCGACACGGATCCTGCAGGTACGTGCTTTTTTTTTTTTTTTTTTTTTTTTTTTTTTGCAGTGCGCGCTGCTGTGACGCGCGCTCACATCGGGACTGAGCGCGCTGCTGGAGCGCGCACGGGAGGAGAGCGGCCGCGGCGCGCAGAGGAGAAACATCCACAATTAATTATAAAGCGGAGCCGAGCTTCGCTCCTGCGGGAGTCACCGTGCGTGAGGATCCGCTCCCCGCGCTCTCAAGGTTTCGTTGAGGAGAAAAAGTGAAGAGACCTGGAGCTCAGAGAGGAAATATCTTTAAGAAGAGCAGGAGTGGATTTCATCTCCACTGTTCCCTGGGAAACAGAAGCTCCGCTCGGTGAGTGGAAAGTTGACTTGGAGAACCTGAGAAGTTCCAGAGAAGCTGTGCTCAGCGTGAGCAGCTCAGATGTGTGTGGATGGAAGACGCTCCACGCCTGGTTCCTCCTCTCTCAGCTGAAACTCGACCCCGCTGCTGCTCACCTCACCTCGGCCCGCACACCGAGGGGGGGAGGGGGGGGGGCCCCGAGCTGCAGAGGAGCCGCGGGAGACGCCATGGGACGATCCACATACTGATGTGATGGGTGAGACGACGAGGGCTCCTTCTCACCCTGAGGGTGAACTCGGGTTCTAATGTTTGTGCCATGCTGGGAAACTGAATGAATCTGGTTATCGTGAGAAACAACCGATTTCATTAATTAGTTGTTAATTGAATGATTTGAAAGTTGATTCTCATGTTGTCACTTTTACGCACGAAAATCTCAAAGTTGAAAGTTTAAATATTTCTCTGAGGATAAACACGTAATGCAGCTTTAATGTGAGTGAAGGTTTGAATGGACAGAGTGAAGGAGAGAATACACTGTACACAGTAAATACGCAGTTCTTTACTTCCACTTCTATTCTCTTAAAATCATTTAAAATGATAATATCACTTATATAATCCTGCTCAAATGCTTCATACTTTGTGTTTGCATGTTCCAGTGTCAGGTGACTGTTCTCACATGTCACACTGAGTATGAATCTCATCCCTGTAGGAAATAATTATTCGTCTAATATTTCAATACATTTATTTTATAAGTCATGAGTCCACAAGTTCTTCAAACTGTCACCGTCACACTCAGGGAATATTTCTTACTGTGAAGAGAAACTGAGTCATTTCAATAATTTATTGTCCAAAAAGAAGTTTAATTTAAATATGAGTCT